TCTGCAACCAATCAGAAAACAGCATTCCGATGGATTTTACTTCGTATCATCGGAATCCTGTTTTCTGATTGATTGCAGAACGTCGTACGACGCAAATCGGATGCAGTGTGAATCCAGCAATAATCGCACAAGTATGTCAATATCTAGTACAATATATAGTTTCAATTTTAAAAAATTTTGTAGGTATTCAATTCGCGACTGTACTACATTAAATCCAACAAGGATGTAAGGTAAGAATCGATCATCTCAAATTATTTAAAGAGTAAACAGTGAGAATTTACTGGACTGTTTCGCCTTCTGAACGCATTGTCAACTTTACACGTTAGTGCTCCTGTGTCTGACAGTATTCAAATGTATTTCATGGAAAAATTATAATTACTGGAAAATTTCCATCTATACATACACACACACACACATAATATCTCGTAAAAAAATTATATTTTTATTCTCATCTTCTTTCATCAATGATTCGTCAATATTATTAATAGTAGTTATAATTGCTTTCTACCTATCACATTGTCAATTGTAGTTTGTTCTTTACTACTGTGTCTTTTACATATGCGAGCCTAAAAAATAAATAATTTTTTATGAAATGTGTTATTGTATATTACAATTGTCTACTAAAATATGATTACGAGTATTGGGTTGGAGAAAAAGTTCTGCGGAATTTTGTTAAATCAAAATTATGTACAGAATATATTAGTTGCAAAATTTTCGACTATCTGGCGTGAAAGCTTATAGTTTTTCCTAAATGTACGTTTTCAAAAAATGTTAAAAAACGACTTTTTGTTACCAAGTCACACATGGATTAAATAAAAGGACATTCTGATTTGGATTGCTCATAACTCACCGGCAAAAATCATCGTACTGCAATTAATAAAACAGATTTTTAAAGCTGAAACGTTGCTCCATGAAGTGGTGTAATTGTCAATTTAAAAAAAAAATAGAATATATGTACATTTGAGTTGAAAAAATGATATTACTCTCCTTTTTTCCATTGTGCAATAGTTATATGGGGGGGGGGATAATAGTATCACATTTTTAACTCAAATGTACATGAATTCTATTTTTTAAATTGATAATTATATATCACTTGATGCAGCACATTGCAGCTTTACGAATTTGTTTTATTAATTGCGTTATGATGATTTTTAATGTAGTTATGAGCAATCAAATTCAGAATGCTCCTTTTTACTGAATTCGCGAATAACAAGAACAAAAAATCGTAGAAATATTTTTTTTAACGATTTTGAAAAAATTCCAAATTTTCATAATATAGATAACCGATAATTTTTGCAAATTTTTTGGCACGTGACAGACCCATGAAGTGAGGAGATAAATTTCCCATTCATTCATCTCATTGCTTTCTATATATAAAAATGACAAAACCCACATAAATTTAAAAAAATACAGTAACCGTTCGAAAGTACAGATTTCAAGCTTTGAAACACTTTTTAAATTTTAATTTTAAACATTCTTAACAAAAATATTGTATTTCCAATTTGAGCTAATAAAGTACCGCAGAACTTTTCTTTCAATTCAATATATAACACAAATAAGAAGACAAATGAAAATTTATTAATGGATTTAAACGTTTTCTCATGAATGACCTGATTTAACATATGTAATAACATCATCTTTTTGCGAAAAGCTCTTGTCACACACCAAACATTCATACTACATTTAATCGCTATGTACAAATTTATGAACGTTTAGGTTATCTTTGGAAGTAAAGGTTATGCCGCAAACCTAAAATCCAGCATATTTATAAGTACAGAAAAGTAAAAATAAAAAAACAACCAAATGAGAAATAATTGAAAAGAACCCTAACGATAATTTGAAGGTACATACATACCTCGCAAAGATGTAGTTCCTCATCTCTATGTATTTTTGTATGAGTAATATCGAATGGAATATAGATAAATGTAGTTGGATATTCGTTACATTTATACGGTTTTTCACCGTTGTGCTTCATGTTTATATGATAATGCAAACTTTGTTTTGTTGCATAACAGTTCTCACATTGGGCACACTTGTAAAGTTTTTCATTGTTATGTATCTCTCTCTTATGCCTGTCTTGATTCGATTTTTGACTATAAAATAACGGTAACAATATTAAACATTTGTTACCAATTTAATTAAGCATAGAGATTGTAATATCAAATAATTCTTCTAATTTTTGTTACTCACTGAAGTACTCACCGAAATGATTCATCACAAACCTCGCATTGATATGGTTTTTCACTTGTATGAATTCTCTCATGCCTATGCAAATCACCATTATGTTTAAACGTTTTACTACATATTCCGCATCTGTACGGTCTTTTAGCGTTGTGCTTTGCATTTATATGACGACGCAACACTCGTTTTGACGTGAAACTTTTCTCACATTGGTCACACTTGTAAGGTTTCGCATCGATATGTGCCATCTGATGCGAGTTTAGATGACATTGTCGACTAAAAAATGATGGTAGCAATATTAATCATTTGTTACCAATTAAATTAAGGCATAGAGATTGCATTATGAAATAATTCTTCTGATTTTTGTTACTCACTTAAATGATTCATCGCATAATTTGCATTGATATCGTTTTTCATCTGTATGAATTTTTTCATGCTGATACAATTCACTTTTTCTCTTAAATGTTTTACCACACACTCCGCATTTGTGAGATTTCACTTCGATATGTACCACCTTGTGCAAGTTTAGACTCGACTTTCGACTAAAAAATGATCGTAGCAATATTAATCATTTGTAACCAATTAAGCATAGAGATTAAATTATCAAATAATTCTTCTGTTTTTATTACTCACTTAAATGATTTATCACAAAATTCGCATTGATATGGTCTTTCACCTGTATGAATTTTTTCATGCAGATACAAATTACCTTTTGTCTTAAATGTTTTATCACACACTCCGCATCTGTGAGATTTCACTTCGATATGTACTACCTGGTGCGTGGTTAGATTCCATTTTCGTCTAAAAAATGATCGTTGCAATATTAATCATTTGTTACCAATTAAATTAAACACAGAGATTGCATTATTAAATAATTCTTCTGATTTTTATAATTCGCATTGATATCGTTTTTCATCTGTATGAATTTTTTCATGCTGATACAATTCACTTTTTCTCTTAAATGTTTTCCCACACACTCCGCATTTGTGAGATTTCACATCGATATGTACTACCTTGTGCGCGATTAGAATCGATTTTCGACTAAAAAATGATCGTTGCAATATTAATCATTTGTTACCAATTAAATTAAACACAGAGATTGCATTATTAAATAATTCTTCTGATTTTTGTTACTCACTTAAATGATTTATCACAAAATTCGCATTGATATGGTCTTTCACCTGTATGAATTTTTTCATGCTCATGCAAATTTTTTTTTCTCTTAAATGCTTTACCACACACTCCGCATTTGTGAGATTTCACTTCGATATGTACTACCTTGTGCTCGTTTAGATTCGATTTTCGACTAAAAAATGGTCGTTGCAATATTAATCATTTGTTATCAATTAAATTAAACACAGAGATTGCATTATTAATTAATTCTTCTGATTTTTGTTACTCACTTAAATGATTTATCACAAAATTCGCATTGATATGGTTTTTCACTTGTATGAATTATTTCATGCTTATGCAAATCACTTTTGTTCTTAAATGTTTTGTCACACACTCCGCATATGTGAGGTTTTACGTCGGTACATACATCTCTATTACTTTGACTTAAAGCTTCAGAGGGGGTAGCTTTGAAGATGATTATTATAAGACAAATATAAAAATGGTAACATAAAACAAATAATTGTTGAAATAATATAAAGTAATCAAAAACACTAAAAATATTAATTATGAACTGTATATATCTTACCATACGGTTGAAGCACATATTCTGTTGTGTCACTATGTGTTGGTCCACTTGAATTCCGTTGCGAATGAGATTCCATTTTTTTGAACTTTAAAATTCTTTGAGGTATTGGATGGAGTTTGGAATGGGTGAACCCCAGATTTTCTTGTCGCTTGACTTACTATATTTTGAAGTGCTGATTACGTAAAAATTATAATGCAGATTGTAAAATGTTTCGAAATGAGTAAGCTCTAGCGTAGCTAGATTCACACTCGACAACGAAAATAACCAATAAATATCGATTACAGTCGATCAATTACTATATTACATGGTAAAATTACAAGCGACTAAATCATATTTAAAATATCATGCTGTATGGTAAAAATTGTTTAAGCTATTTTATATATTTTCATGACTACTTATAGCATCTGTTCTTTTAAAATAATAAAGAATCATAAACTGCGTAACATATTTTAAAATGTTGAAATTTTACTATACCCTTTAGTAAAATTAAAAAAATATATTACATATCTTATTATGGCACATACTAGTAAACTAGTAAATTAAAGAAACTTATGTACAATTCTTTGAAATACTATGTTGTCCCACTTTTATCATGATTTTCAGCTAAATTCTAAGAGAATATTCTCTCCGTGTACAGTACTAAATATCTATATTTCGGGTTCAACTCCTGACCGAGGTAATATTTTTCACAATAAATAAATTTATTTACAAACGGCATTCGCGTTATGCATACCTCAAGGAGGTTGCACGGTTAAGCCTGCGGCACACGATGCTTGTTTTCCTGCTGGATTGCTAGCTGAATTAGAATCTTATCATCGTATTGGCTGTGATACTGGGCACTGACAGCATCGCAGAGCCAATACGGTGGCAAGATCCTAACTCAGCTAACAATCCAGCAGGAAAATAAGCATCGTGTGCCGCTGGCTTTAGAGTTTGCACACATTTTGGCTGCGTTCGGGCAGCGCGTTATCAACGCTATTTGTGTCATATTATCCTTATTTCACGTTTAATGGGTGACGAAGATAGATTGACACAAATAGCACTAATAGCGTCTCTCCGAACCTAGCCGTTGTGTGTCGCGCGCGCGCGCGCGTTTGTGTGAGTAATAAATAATGTCTCATGATACCACTAACAATATAAATAATTTTCTCAATAGATTCTTTCCATACGGAAGTTATCGTTTATATTTCTGTTAAGAATTTGTTACCTCTTCTACAGCGGGCGCATGTGTATGCTATTTTTGCGATTAATTAAACGAGAAAACTTTGTGAAAATTCACCTTATTTCTGGGAGCGGTTGTGCGTGACAAAGAAATTACAATATGGCGACTATTTTCGGCGGGAATTCTTCCGCAGTGATGGGAGCTGGCAAGAATTCGTCTGCTCTAGGAAACTTTGTGCGCATGCGTAAAATGACGTAACAGCTCGATTTAGCCCCAGTTCCACAACTCACGGTTAACTCTTATAACCGATCTTCAATTTATTTCTCATCCCTTTCCAATTCGAGAATTGGAAAGAGACAATGAATAAGTTGAACCTCGTTAAGAGTTAACTGTGAGTTGTGGAACTGGGCCTTAATGACGGAGCAATACGGAATGTGGGTTTTGACGAATAAATTATAATTTTCATATATATTTTTATGTAAAAGGTTTTAAAAAATAATATAATCGTTCAGAGAGGTAGCATTTGCGAAAGCCACTATAATGACGTACAGTATCTAAACGGTTAAAAGAGGAACAATTCATTACTATAACCTTAATTTAGGAAAAAATTTGGAACGCATTGTAAAGCGGGACAAAGTGTTAAAATTTGAGATTGTCCCGCCTAATTTGGGACAATTGTCCCACCTAATTTGGGACAGATTTGTGTGCAATTAGTCAAAGAAGCATCTGCGATATGTCTGCATTTATCTGTCACTAAATTATACGTGAAATGTTACATTTTCAATATTTTTTTTCTCTTATTTTATTAACAAATTGTAGATTTTTGCACACATCAATTTTGATACTTCAACTTTATTATATAAAAGATTAGACATTTCTATGGTAACTCGATTTACTAAAGAATTACTTTAAATCTTGTTTATTTTTCTTGTGATATTTAGCCTATAACATAATAATGATTTATTGAAAGAACGCTCTCTAAATTTTTGATCAATTTGAACGTAATCTGTTAAATTCAGATTGAAAATATGGAATATGCAAATCGTTGTATCAAATGATTAAAGTGATCCTAACGTTAACGAAAATTCTAACATTAATTAATAATAGAAATATTTGATGCACATTGATTTTATATTAAATGTCTTGGTGATGAATTTGTTAACACAAGATACTTGACGTTCGTTACTTGCGGTGCGAAACATGTACACAAGATTATCTCACGTATCGTGTAGTATCTATCATTTGCAAAATATGACTCGAGTAGGTAGGCAGCAACACGAGCTGCTCCGTGTATCACTTCGTTATTATCTCTCTTAAAGTGATTGCAACAAGAGAAATGACTTTCTTTTGTACCTGGCGAGCAGCATTTCGCAAGTGGTTTTTCGGTTTTCCTGCTGTCTTTCATTCGGTTCATGTGGAACCCATTTTCCCATCTTCTGGATTTTTCCCATGGATTTCAAACGTATGGAGATGGCTTCTCGTGTCACATTTATTTGATCCGCGAGTTGTTGTTGAGTTTGAGCATCATCCTCATCCAACAATGCTTGCAATTCGCTGTCTTCAAACTTTTTCGGTGGTTTTCCA